GGCGCGAGCCGCCTGCCCTTGCGCGGCTGAGCTGCTTGCCTCGCACTCGGCGCGGGCGCTGGTCTGTTCCAGCCGGCGTTTCACTTGCGATGCTTGGAAAAAGGCGCGCGGAAAAAAAAATGCTCCTTCTTGCCCCACGGTTGCTGTTGGCACGTGGGGCAGCCCAAGGCGAGGTCGGACGTGATGTGCTGACGTAACGAGTCGCAGATTTCTTTGCTGGCCGCTGGATGCCCCGCGTGCGCGGGCTGGCAGTCGAGGCCGGCGCACGCCCAGTGCGGCGAGAAGGCGCCGAGGGGAGGTGCGAGCAGGCATGTGCACTGGTCCGCCGCGGAGAGCTCTCTCGGGCCAGGCAAGTGCTCACCAGCGCCCAGCTTGCCCCAGGCAACGAGCAGACGTTGCGTCAGCTCACCGACCCGGAGCGGCGCCCGCCGGCAGCGCGGCGCGCTATTCCTGAGGAAGTCCTCGCTTTCCAGCCGGAAGCTCCCACGACCTTGTCGGCTGAGGAGGTTGGCGCAGCGCTCCGGACAGCGCGGCGCGGCACGGCGGCCGGGTTGAGCGGCGCCACTGCCGAGCACTACCGGCTGCTGCTGGAAGAGGAGGCCTCTTTGGAAGCGTTTGCGAAGGTCGCGACCCTACTGGCCCGCGCTGAGGTGCCGGGGGAAGCGCTGCAGGCGATGGCGCTAGCAAGGCTCACGGCACTGCAGAAACCCAATGGAGGGGTGAGAGGCATTGCCACCGGTGACGCGCTGCGACGGCTTGTGGCCCGCGCCCTGGCACGCAAGTATGCCGTGCGCTTTGATGACGCTACCCGGCCCTTCCAGTTCGCTCTCCGCGCGAGGGCAGGCACCGACGCCTTGGCCTCCATGCTGCGGGCAGCTGTGGAGCTGGACGCCGACACGGTCGTGGTGTCGCTCGATGGCAAGTGCGCGTATGATACTGTTTCTCGCGCGGCATTCCTCAGCAAGCTGGCCGAGGTCGAGCCCGCTGTAGTCCCCTTTGTGCGCAACTTTTATGCGCGCACGTCCACATACCTGTGGTGGGACGACGCGGGGGCATGCCACAGGATCTCCCAAGGCGAGGGCTGCGAGCAAGGAGATGCCCTAGCTCCTGCTTTGTTCGCGCTGGCGGTGCATGATGCGCTGCAAGCTGCGCAAGCAGAGTTGTCCAAGGGCGACTGGCTGGCTGCCTTCCTTGACGACTTGTACATCAAAACGCGCGTGCCTCGTGCCCGGGCCGCTCTGGATAGCGTCGCAGGAGAGGTCGCGCGCCACGCGGGGGTCCAAACCAACGCTGCCAAAACCAGGGTGTACAGGGCCCGGCCCGGCTCCCGCCGACCTAGCGGTGCTAGGGCCTGACGTGTGGCGCGCGGACAAGCCGCTGGATGAGCGAGGCCTCCTCGTGCTAGGAAGCGCGCTGGGGTCGGCCGAGTTTGTTGCCGCTCATGGCGGCGAGCGCGCCCGGGCCGAAGAGGTTTTGCAGCAGCTGCCGGAGCTGCCGGACTTGCAGTGCGCGTGGCTCCTGCTTTCTCAATGCGCAGCCCCTTGCTCGCACCACGTGCTACGCACAGTGCCACCGTCCGTTGCTGCCCCCTATGCCAGGGCGCACGACGAGGCAATCTGGACTACGGTCCGCGCTTTGCTAGGAAGCCCGCGAGCCGAGGGCGCGGAGTGGGACCGCGCGCGCGCCTTGGCATCACTGCCAGTGCGTGAGGGAGGGCTGGGCCTGACGCCAGCCACGCGGCTCAGCCCTGCCGCGTATTGGGCCGCATGGGCTGACGCCCTCCCCGTCATCCAGGACCGCAGGCCCGAGTTTGCCGCGCAATGCGTCCGCGCCTTGGATGAGGCAGCGGGGGACTTCAGCCAGTGCTTAGCTGAAGCGGCGACCGCGCGAGACGTGCTAGTGAGAGCCGGCTGGGGGGCTTGCCCCGGCTGGGCGGACTTGTTGGCGGGCGGCCAGCCGCCCGGACTTTCTGAGGAGCCCGAGCCAGGGGAAAGGTGCCAGGGTTGGCAGCGTCACGCAGCTCTCTACCTTCATTCCGCTTTCCGAAAGCGCGACGTTTTGCCACTCCTCCGCGCCCAAGACCTTGCTCTGCTGCGCTCACAGTCCGGCCCGCAGGCGGGCGCCTGGCTCTCCGCCATGCCCACAGACCCGGGTGCAGTCCTGACTCCGGAGGCCATGCAACTTGCCCTTCGGCGACGGTTGCGGTTGCCGCTGCCTCTGACGTACCGACGATGTGGTGCTGGTACGGGCCATGGGTGCGGCGCTGCCGTCGACGCCTTTGGGGACCATTATGCGGCGTGCACGCGCACAGGTCTTCTCGCCAGGCGGGCAGTTGTGCTGGAGCAGGCGTGGGTGCGCGTAGCCCGCGAGGCGGTCGGCCCTGAGGGCCGTGTCGTGCCACAGCAATGGCTTGCTCACACGACTGCCCCGGGAGTCGCGGATGGTGACCGGAGACGCTTAGACCTCGTCGTGTATGGGGCCACGGCGCGCGGCGAGGCACTTTGCTGCGACGCCACTCTGGTGTCCCCCCCGCGGGCGGATGGAGCGCCGGTACCGGGGGCTGCTGCCAGGGACGGCGTTGCCCTGCAACACGCTCGCCGCAGAAAAGAGCGGCGCCGCCCCAAGCTGCAGGCGGCGGGGCCGCACCGTCGTGTTGCCATGCGAGGTTGGTGGCCGATGGGGCTGCGAGGCGGCCGAGCTCGTGAGGCGGTTCGCCCGGCTCCGCGCCCAGCGCGCGCCGCCTGCGCTGCGCGCCTCCGCGCTGGCCGGATGGAGGCGCCGCTGGTGGGGCATTCTAGCCGTCGCGCAACAGAAAGCGCTGACCTCCGGCCTGCTTGGCGCGTGGGCCACGCCTGCCATGCTGGCTGCTGAGACCGGGCCGCCGCTAGCGGACGTGCTGCCTCGGGATGGCCCGCTGGGCCCGAGTGGTGTCGCGTTGCGTGGCTAGGCGCCTGCAGCCGCCCACCCCCGGCGCTGCATACGGACACAGCCGCCCTCGCCGACGTGCGGAGAAAAAAAAGCCAGGTCCCTGGTTTTCTTTTTATTCACCACGCATGCTTGGTGGTGTCAGGTACGCAGAATTGCTGTCGACGCCTCTCCACGCATGCTCTTCCATCGGAGCCAGGTCCCCGGTGGAACAACGAGCCCGCAGGCTGCGTGTACCACCAAATGCTACTTTGCATGTTTGCTTTTTCGGTGCCCATGAGCACCTCCAGCCGCAGCGTGTCCTGAGCATTTTAGTGTTTGCCCCAGTCTCCCCTGCTTCGCCGCGAGCCGCATCGCTTTGCATCGCGCCGTCGTGGAGCATGAAGAGCGCAATGCGCCACACTATTGCTCGGAGTTACTTGGACTTGGAAATCATCATTGAAGACCTGTACCTCCTCTTTCTCAGCATTCGTTTTTGGATCCGCATCGTTGCCTTCTGCATGATCGTTAACACCTCGCTCGCATGCCTGAGCTGCCTCCAAACCCTGCATGCCTTTTTGGACATGAGTGAAACCCCTTAAGGGATGCCCCCGGGCACAAAGGGTCTTGGCGGCTGTTTTTTCGGAGGCCAGCTCCTCACGTGCACACAGCTGGCCATGTATCCCGGCGGCCCCCGGCCCAAGAGGCTGTCACCGAGGCAGACGGCTGCCGGCGCTCGGCGGGCAAGCGGAGTCGGCAAGCAGCGCACTCCAGTCGGGGCAGGGCCCGCCGAAGTTGGAATGGCCAGCCGCGACCAGGACTCGGCAAACGAAAGCTGGGCTGCAAAGGAGCCGGGCGTAGGGCAGGCGCAGCCCCCCGGGAGCGGGACCGAGCAAGGAGGCGGATGAAGCTTGCAGCCTCCTCGCTCCAGCAGCCACCGGCCTCGAGCGCGAGGACGGCCAGCCGGCAACGGTTGGACCGCAGCAGTTCGGGATAGACACGCTCCTTCCGCAACCGCGCCTCAACAAGAGCGGCGCCCCGCGTTCGCCCCGCACGGCGGCGGGGTTGGCCCGCAGAGTCGAGGGGCAAGACCAAAGTATGTTTTTTTCTCCGGGGGCCGGGTGTGCTTATCTCAGAAGCTAAAAAGCGAAATCTCCTGTTTCTCATCCAAAAAGGCTATCGGAAGTCGGCGCACGGGCTCCCCTTCTCTGACGGGTCAGGGAACTCCGCGCGATGATCAAAGACCATGGAGCAAGCGCTCACACGGCACCGAGATTCAGCCTCTTGTCGGCTGTCCCGTCCAAAACACCTACCACTGCTCAAGCCTTTCTCTCATACCGTCGGGTCCTCCACCACCCCGTTGACGCAGAACCTGCAAGGCCGCAACGGCACGCAGTTCGGGGTTGAATGCAACCGGCCGTCCTCTCCCTTCCAGGCCGTGGCATTGCGATCCCTCTGCGTCCTCATTCCCAGCCAGCAGTTTGGGCAAGGCAACAGAGACCTCATGCCCCTTATCGTCGCCTGCCTCAATCCCCAGCACTTTCGGTTCCAGTGGTATCGTTCCCCCATGTGCGTGAGGTGATACAGCTCCACCGGCTCCCGCTGCGATTCCTCCTGCCTTGCCACCGGGGTCTCCGCAATGCTCCCCATCGGCCTTGGCGTGTCATGCCTCCTCTGCCGAAGGTGAGACCCACTGCTCGAAGACTCCGAGCTCCGGCTCGCCGAGCGACTCTCCACCCGAAAGTCTTCCTGCTCCATTTCCTGCTCCTCACGATGCCTTTGCTGAAGGCGCTCCAAGCGAAGATCTCGCCTGACCTCTTCCCACACGCGCCTTCTGATCTCCTGCTCCGTCTCCTCCGAAGCCGTCTGCACCTCCCGATTCTCCACCAGGATCTCTACGGTTCCGCGTCTCCGCTGCTGCAGAATCGCCTTCACCGTCTCCTCCACCAGCTTGTAGCAGATCACCGACATGATCGCCACCACCACTACCAGGACCGTCAACGCCCCAGAAGCATTCTCCACTTGCTGATCACCTTGGGCTTCCGCCCCTTCCACCTTCAACATCGCAACCACCACCAGGATCCCTGTTCCACCACCGGTAGTCGAGGAAGTACCCCACGGCCTTTTCCTTTCCAGCTTCACAGACTCCATAGAGCTCGGATCCAACCAAGCCAAAGAGCTCCTGCCAGAGGACGCCGTAGGGCTCGGGTTTGGCCTTGCCAAAGAGCTCAAGTGTGGGGATGCCGTAGGGCTCTCGTTTGACCCTGCCGAAGAGCTCCATGACGGGGATGCCGTAGGGCTCAAAGTTGACCTTGCCAAAGAGCTCAAGGTCGAGGACGCCGTAGAGCTCGAAGTTGAGCTTGCCAAAGAGCTCAATGACGGGGATGCCGTAGGGCTCGGGTCAGATCCTGCCGAAGAGCTCAAGTGCGGAGATGCCGTAGGGCTCGAGTCCGACCTTGCCGTAGAGCTCAGGGGTAAGGATGCCGTAGGGCTGGATTCTGCAAATGCCGACGAGGACCAACTCCCCGGTCTTACACCCAGTCTCCTCATGCCCCCCTCCAACTTCCTTTCCACCTTTTCTCTAACAAGGTTCCGGACCTTCTGAATCCCCACGCTCTTCACCTGGTTGACCAGCACCATGAGCCCTCCTGCCAAGAGAGCACCACCGATCTCACCCATCTCCGGCGGTCCACCAGCCAACCTCCTCATCGACAAAAGGGTTCCACCCACAGCCACTGCGGTCACACCCTTGACCACCGCCTCTCTAAGATCACTGGCATCTCCTTCTTCTCGCTGTAGAGCCCAATGCCCTTCCGAAACCTCTCCAACGGTCCAGCAGGCAGGCACTTGGTCAACGCATCTGCCCACAGCTTGGTTCCTGGTCTGTGCGTCAAGCTCAGCTCCTTCTCCTTCACCGCTTCTGCCAAGCAATTGGCCCTAATCCTCAAATGTCTTGTCCTCCATCCTCCACCCTGACCACTGGTCAAGATGAGAGCTGCTCTGTTGTCGTTGTAGAGCTCAAGCTCAACCTCATCCTCCACCAGGCTCACCAGAGCTCGCACCGACCTTCCCGCTTGCACTCCCTCCATTAACGCCGCCAGCTCCGCCTCGGCTGTCGACAGAGCTATCAGGCCTTGCTTCTTCGACTCCCACTGTATCGGCACTCCCCCATACAGTACCACCAGCCCAGACACGCTGTGCTCATCCTCCACCCCAAACGATGCATCCACCAAAACCTCCACGGTGCCATTGCGCCTTGGGGTTCTTCGTGTTAAAACCCTCTAGGCCCCGTGCCAATTTGGGAAGCTGTTCTGAGGTCCATGTTCTTGTTGATTGAGAGCTCCCTTTGGAAACCACATTTGGCTCAAGTCACAAGTAGGGCTCAAGGTCTTGCATGAACTACGTTCGCCTGTGATCGATCCGTGAGAGAGAAAACAGGTTCATTCGCGCTGCTGAGATCGGACGTGTGTACGGTTATTGGACAATACCCGCTTACAACAGTTTGCACTGGTTTGGCTATAACGGTCCTACCGTATATCCTTTCTACGTGGTTGAGTACATTCAGCTGAAGGGTTCGGTGGACAGCGTCCCACGGGACGTCACCTTGCCGTCTCTTGACAGGTTATCAGCCGTACAACAAGCTCTACACTGGACGGAGAGACAGCTGGTTTATTGCGGGTACAGGAACTGCAGAGGAACAATAACCCACACAGTACAATGGCATCTTCAGCGAGCCCAAGTACTGCAACTTTTGGGAACGACAGTTCGGAAGATGGCTCTTCCTGCGGTGATGGACATGGTCGCAGATTCACAGGATGAACCTGGGAGCGGTGGATCCGCACTATTCAGCGACATATCCACACCCTCGAGATCATGGAAGCAGATCGCCATCCGTCAGGAATCGAAACAGAGACATTCTCCGCCAAGAAGATCATCATCTTCACCTGCGACCCCACGGGCATCGCAGAAGGGCGTGAGGTCGACATCGAAGGGTGGGAGATCCAAATCACCCACAAGTGCCGAGTTTCGCGCTGCAATCAAAGAGAAAAACAAGATGGAGATGGAGATCGGGGAGTATCAGAAGACACTTGATGAGATGTCGGCGGCAATGGCAAATCTTCATCAAGAAGACTATGGAAGCACAATCCGGATCCAGGAACTGGAGAGACGATGCGACATTGCCAGCAAGCAATCGGGACATCTTGTGAGTCATCACCAACACCACATGGCAGAGGCCTGGCGCAAGTTTGAGGCGGAAGCCTAACAGATGCGCGAGGCTGAGATGAACGCATATCAATACGGGGAAAAGAAAGACATGGAGTCGAATGCGACGATGCAACAAATGCGACAAGCTGAGGGAATGATCATGGAGCAGAAGCGGGAGATTGCAATGATGAAATCCTACATGGCAAGCGAGAAGGCGGCCGCACAGGAATCAGCTATGCAAGCAGGTCAGATTCACCGCGAAGCTTCACAACAGATTTCCGTTTATCAGCAACAGATCAGAGGTATTGAGTCATCTACATCTATTGAGAAGTTCAACGAGGAGGAGATGGTTCAGAGCCTAAAAGCACAGTTGGAACATGCACTCGTCAAGCGCCCCGAGATGTACTCCATGGAGGACACCAGGGAGCAACTGATGACGAGACTGAATGACGTGACGACATTTGCGGAACAAGAATCGAAAAGAGCAGCGTGCTTGCTTCGTGAGAAAGAGGAGATCGTCAAACAGTATGAATCCGACGTGTTGAAGAAGGACCAGATGATTGCTATCGAAGGTGGCCATCGTCAGGATGCAATCTTGGAATTGGCCCAGATCAGAGATGAGAAACGAGCGGAACAAAGCACGATGGACGAGAAGTCGAAAGAAGCCGAGTTCTGGAAGTCAACAGCTAAAGGGATGCAAGATGAGTACCTCGAGGAAGTGCGCAAACTTCAGGGACAATTGATGAATCGAGAGGCGATACTCAAACAAGAAGAGAGTTTTGTCCGTCAACTCGATACAGACAATGAGGAACTCAGGACATTCAAGAAGCTGGAGATTCAGGAGGCCTCGGGCAAGAAAGACGAACATCGTGAACGAGCAGTAGTGAAACGCCTTGAGGGAGCAACCCAACTTAATTCGATTAGGGAAGACAAGAGGATGGCCGGGACAAACCCGTCATCATCATCCAATTCGATCCCTAATTCGTCACTAGCACCGGGTTCGATTCTCTTTCCGTCTTTCGGTGATCCGATGATCGATGTACACCTATCACAGATGCAAGGGGTTGTCGGGCTAGTACCACAACCTACGAATACAGCTGGTGGTGGTGGCAATGGAGGAGGAAGCAACGGTAATACACCTCCATTGGATTACAGCGGATTCTCATTCGGTGGGAACCAACAGGGACCTGGTCGACGTCTTTTGAATCTAACAGGTGGTGGAGGAGGACCTCCAGATGACCCGCCCGATGATGAGGATGAAGACGACGATGACGAAGAGGATGAGGAAGACGAGGAGGAAGAAGAAGACAGTCGGACACGGAGGGGACGCAGGCGATTGAGGGATGATCGTGAGACCAAGAACGAGAGACCAAGGATTTCAAGAAAAGAGGCTGAGAGGGTATCCATTCCCAGTTGGCCGAAGATCCATCAGCTCGATAACTGGAAGATGCAATTGCTGATGAATGTGCTAAGTGCATGCGCAGATCCGGATACCGACTCATGGACGAAATGGTTGGAACAGGCTCTAGGGTTAAACCCAGACCTCAATCTACTAAGCGACTCAGGCGGCGATAGATTCGCTACGATCGACATCAAGATGGCCATGGGCATGCAGAACATGCTGAAACAAGCACCGGACGAAGCCAAGGACGTATACCTCGATGCTACACGACATTCAGAACTACGACATCAACAAGGAGTGATCGTGAAGGGACGAGAGTTGGTGGCATTGGTCATGCAATCATTCAGGACAACTGATCGAACGGACTTTGTCTATCACATCGAGCACTTATTCAACCTCGAGTTTCCTGGAGACAAGAACCTGGTTGTGTTCAGGAACAAGTGGTATGATTTGCTGCTGAAGATGAGGAGTGAAGACAGACCCAGTAAATTGGCACTAAGGGATATCCTTTACAGGAAGATCAAGGGGAGCAAGAAGATGGAGTCTGAACGCCTACCATAGGTTACCAGACAAACATCCTCAAAAGTCGTATGAATTCTTATTGGCGTTGATAGACCATCAAATCAAGTCGGATCGAGAGGATCTGATGCTCGACATGAAGGAGAAGTCGGTCAAGTCAATGATGAAATCAGGCGGCAAGGACGCAGCTCCGGCTGCTGGCAAACAGGAGGGACAAAATGGCAAAGGTAAAAAGGGCAAATCCAACGGACCTGGTGCCGCTCCTGTGCTCCCGAAGGCCAAAGCAAAGGGTCATGCTGGCAAGAACGGCAAGTCCGAAGGTAAGGGCAAAAGTCCAAGCGGAAGCAAGGAGAATCACATGTTGGTATCATTTTAAAGCGGAGAAGGGGTGCTTGAAGGGAAACGAATGCCCATATTCTCACAGCAAGAAGACGGAGCACAAGCTGGAGGACATGCCCAAAGGAAAAGGGAAAGGAAAGTCCAAATCCAGATCGTCCTCGCCGAAGAAGGAGGATGGAGTGTGCTACGCGTTCCAGAAGGGAAAGTGTGAGAAGGGCAGTGCTTGCAAGTACAAGCATGAACTCATCAAGAACAACTCAGCTCCGGCAACGTCAGGAGACAAGGCGCAAGCCAAGTCAAAGGCTGCCCCCAAGGCCGCGGCACCAGCGATTGTGAGAAGGGCCATCGCAATGCCTGCGATAGTCCTGAAGCAATCGGCCCCTGCCGGAAAGGTCAGCTTCAAGAAGGACGTTGATCATGTTGAACCGGATGAAGCCGAGACTGTCTACCACGAACGCGATGACGACGTCATGAGTGAGTCATCAAGATGGTCTGGCGAATCCGAGATCCCCGAGAAGATGGTATGGTTCAAGGAAGTACTCGACGTCGACGAGAACGGGGAGATCACCTATCTTGAAGACGAGAGTAGGCAATGGGAACGAAAGGAAGAGTGGTATGGCTATGAGGGCAACGAGAATGGTCCTTATCAGTACGTGCACATTGATGAGAAGAAGTTCAAGGACAGTGATCATCGAGAATTATCAGCCTATCAAGTCCAACGATCATTAATAAGGGCAAAGATACTGGAAGAGGTAGTGGACGATGTTTACAAGAAACACTACTTTCCGGTGACCAAGGAGAACACCATAGTGTTTGAGTATGATCAGGTTGAGGACGAGATCAAGGAAGCGGTCATCGGCTGGAAGAAACAACATGGTCTGCTGAAGAATGTGTTCGCAATGTCAACATGTATTAGCAAACGGGTGAAGTGGTTGATGGACACCGGATGCGGCCACGATCTCATTGGTCGAGCCAAGGCAAAGAGCCTGGGTGTCGATATTGTGAAAGACGATGATGAGATTGTGTTCCAGACCGCAAATGGTTCCACCTCCACATCTGACGTGGCCAAGATTGTCGTGGACGAGTTGGACGAGACTGTCGAGCCACATGTGTTAGATGAGACGCCCACGGTACTGTCGATAGGGAGAAGATGTATGAAGATGGGGTATGCATTTCACTGGATGCCTGGTAAGCTACCTTTCATGGTTACACCAAAGCAGGGCTTCGTACATTTGCAGGTCAAGGACGACATTCCATACCTTGTGAGCGATGGCAAGCTCCGGAGTAACAGACATCGCCCTACAATCGATGACCTCAAGGAGCACTTCTCCGAAGTATTGGCATTGGTCACGAACGATGAGGCAGGCAACGATGATGATGATGAAAATGATATACCCGCCGCTGCCGGTGAACCCGCAGAGGTTGAGGGTGAACATCACGACTTCGGACCGCCCGGAGGAGCCGGTCCGGTGCATCCGCCTCCTGTAGCTGAGGTGATACCAGAGGACGTAGGGCCTGACCCGCGTCGTCATGGTGAAGCCGAAGCTAACGAAGAAGAAGCTGATGAAGATGATCCAGATGCTGGAATTGAGGTTGATGTGTACGAGGGATAACCCAGATCAGAACACCATCCGACCTGTTTTGTGTGGTCCAGAGCCACAAAGCCGTCTGGGCGTGTAGCGGACCCTTCGGCTGAGCATGCCCGCCTGTCTAAAGCCAGCAAGCCAGCGTGGAATGGCTCATTCAGTGCTTTCAGGTGGACATGGCAGGCAAGCCCACTAAGGAACAAGCCCATGCTTGCGTGTAAGGCAGCCGCTGACGCATGTGCAGAGGCAGGCATTGCGTTTCCTGGTTCGCGGAAACATGGGATTTCGCAGAGGTCCAAACACAGTGGCCGTGCCTCACCAAAGAGGCACAGCGGTACATCGCATGCTTTGAAACCCTCGCCCAGCTCGCGCTCATGCGCATAGCATGGGCTGCCAAGGGGCAAACATGCCATAGCGTCTGCATTCCCACAGGAACAGACAACACAGCCTCCGAGGCGGGGGTGAACAAACTCTTCACCACCGCATGGCCCCCGCAAATGTTCGTGCAATTAGTAGCAGCCTGGGCCCATAAGCATAAATGGTCAGTAATCGCCTCCCACATCCGGGAGAGCATACTATCTGGGCAGACGGGCCTACTTGAGGAAGAGCAACTGGCCTGTGTGCCACTTGGAAGCAGGCGACTCCCTGCGCTGGCAATGCAGGTCCAATCTTGAGAGGGCAGCTGTCTGAAGATCGAATGCCAAGTACAGCCAAAGCAGGCTGTCCAAGACCAAATGGAAAAGGCCAACAGTGCTCAAGGATGCAGGTGAGCTCGAGCAGCGAATTACCTAGGTCCTGGTTCATCACCTTGCGGAAGCTGCGCTAAGCCGCCCAGCTCCGGGCAAGGTGGAGTCAAAAGCACAGCGACGCATGTTTCTGCATCACGTCAGACCGGCGGGACCGGGAACAAAAACGGCTCAGGCAAGACTTCAGCATGTAAGCCGGCAAGCACGGGTGAGAGGCCCAACCGTCACAGCAGCAACCGCCAACGGCGCAACGAGGTAGCCGAAGAAGCCGGGGGCGATGGCAGCCAGGCTGTGGCCGTCGTGGTATCCGTGGCGGTCGACTCCTCCACTGGCCATTGGCCGGCTCAAGGGGCTGGGAAGCATGCCGGCCGTGCGCAATCCACCGCACGCCGGCGGAGGACAGCGCGGGCGTTTTCACGTTGCAAGGTGAAGGACATGGCCTGCACCAGGGCGGTCGGTCTCGATCGCCGCCGCTGCGCGCAGCCAGGGCCCTACCCAGGACAGCGACCCCCAGAGCCCTCAGCCACGATCGGCAGGAACTGCAAGCCTTGCTCAGAGCAGAGCTGAGCCGTGTTGAGGTGAGCACGCTTGCGGGCCTCGTAATCTGTAGCTGGCCCCACCGCCCACGCGCCCCCTGCGGCAGCAGCTTGTGGGAGCTGTCCAGGACGGAGTCGGCAAGATCAAGGGCGGCAGGCCCGTGAATGCCCCAGCTGCGACCCAGATGTCAGCAGAGCGCCGTCCAGCAGGGTTGGGCACCCCATTCTCTGGAGCACCGTCGGCGTCCAGCTGGGGAGGAAGGAGGCCAGGCTTTTCCACCTCCACGTGCAGCCCTGCAGCTTGAGCGCGACTGGCCAGGACAGTCCGCAAGCGGTTGTGTGGTTGAGCTGAAGGCGCAGGCAGTGCAGGGCCGAGGCCACGTGGCGGCAGTTGCCCGCCAAGCAGACGTCATCCAGGAAGCCGAAAGTGAGGTCTGGGAGGGCGTGCGGCCCCGCGCCCTCAGCGGCAGCACGAAGAGCAGGGTGGAGGGAAAAAGGGAAGGAGCGGCCCCAAGGGGTCCCCTTGTTGAACCCCTGCCTCCGACGACACCACATGCCCCTGGCAGAGCAACCTCGAAGGCTCGCTGTAGCACCACTCAGCAAAAGCTGCCAGGCCAGGGAAGCTGGACGGCCGCCTCCGCACCAAGGGGCGTGGCCACGCCAACCTGGAGCGGGCAGAAGTGGGCCTTAACATCCTCCCGCACCGCTTCGCAAAGACATTTGCCCACCAGCCGCCGCAGCGTCTCCCCCACAGCAATGGGTCGCACGTCTCCGTCGCCTTTGGGCAACGCGAGCAAGGCGCCGCCTGCCAGGTGCGCAGCCACCTCCGGCGGGGCACCGCCGCTCGCGAGCAAGCGCACAACCCCGGCAAGGTGGGCAACCACCTCGTCGCTGTGGGCGGTCCCCAGCGCCTCGCGGAGATGGTCGCCACGGAGGCCGCTGGGCCCGGGCGCGCTTCTTCTCCGGAGCAGCCCGGCCCACCTGTTCCACCGCAATGTCGGGGACCAAGTGCTGCGGCGGAGGCCCCAGTGCGGCCAGGGCAGGTCCGGCCGGTGGAGCGGTGGGGTGCTTGGAGCGGAGTTTGGCCACAACAGCGTCAGCATGAAGGAGTGGTCCACCAAAGCCGCACACGCTCGGGAAAGCTCCCCCTCAGCTGCCAAGGACAAGCGCCTCATCCTCGGCAGCATCACGGCGGGCGCGGCGTTGCGGGGCCTCCCACAGCTCAGTCCGCTCTCCCTCAACCCAGCGCTGGCATCGCCGCAAGGTTGTTGTTCCCGCCGAGAAGCCCCTCCACGCGGGGCTGGTCGGAGGACGGCTTTGGGAAGCATCAGGAGCTGGACCCAGGCTGAGACGGAGTTCTCGGCGACCACCACGGAGAGCGCTCACGCAAGGCGCTGCGCCCAGGCGCTGCGGGCCACCTTCGGGACATGCCTGGAACACCTCAGCAAGGGCGGGGAGCTTAGCAGAGGCAACACTGCCGCCTTTAAAAATAGGCCGCAGTCTAGAGTGCGCTTCGCGCCGCGCGATGTCTGGCCGCATAAGTCCGCTTTAACTTTGCATCCTCACGATGCCCCGTGGCGGCCAGAGCATAGGGCAGCCTCGCAACCGCACTAAAGAGGGGGCGAGCAGAACCCTAAACTGTGCAGGCTCCGCATGGGGATGCAGGTAAAGGGGGATGGACACGCTTTGTCATCCCTCCTGCATCCCCGAGCCTGGACTTCTGAGCAACGCCTAATAAAAAAGGAGCAGAACGTTTCGGTCGGTCGGACTTGTGTTTCTTTTTATTGTTTGTTCCCTCTTGGCTTGAAGCAGCGAACAGGATTCTAACGCTTGGGGTTTTTAGTTCCCCCGTGTTTTAATCCTGTTCGAATCTTCAGCCGCGTTGCCGTTTGTGCTTCAGGCCATCTCGAGGGACGGGGTTAGAGGGTTCGATCCCTCTTTCTGTTTTTTGAGCCCACCCACCCACCCTGCTCAGGTGAAACACCTTGAGCACCAGGCTCGCAAGCCTCAATAGGACTTGCATTGCATCCGCACGCTGTGTGTTCTGCTTAGTGTTGCCTTTTTTGCCTTTGCATGCAAGGACGCATTCCTAGGACTGCCGTTCCATCCGCACATGGTGCCAGCATGCGCATTCTGCTTCGTGTGGCTTTTTTTGCCAGGGCACATGCGAGGACGCATTCCTCCGGCATGTGTTCCGGACTCTGTCCGACAAGTGAGGATGCATTCCTCAGAATCTCTCACGAGAGCACGCGTTGCTTCGTGTGAGACACCACATTACCGGACCAGCCGTTGGTCTTAAGTTGCACGCATTGCTTCTTGTCGTGCCAGAATACCTCCAGTTCTGTTTCACACCCCTGGGTAACACACCCTGTGAACAGGTTGAACACGCGTTGTTAACCTTGGGGGTATCTGTGCAGTCCGCATGGGGATGCAGGTAAAGAGGATGGACACGCTTTGTCATCCCTCCTGCATCCCCGAGCCTGGACTAAAGGAGCAGAACGTTTCGGTCGGTCGGACTTGTGTTTCTTTTTATTGTTTGTTCCATCTTGGCTTGAAGCAGTGAACCGGATTCTAACCGCAATGCTGCGCCCCGACCGGCATGCCCACCAAGGAGACGGCAAAGGCGGACATCGCGGCGTGCGTCAAGAGCGCGGACCAGCGCGCGACAAGCACGGATTGCAAACAGGTCCGGAGCCTGGTGGGGGCCTCGCGCGCTTTGGCACGCGCAAGTGAGCGCACAAAAGAGGCGGCTTCGTCACTCCAACCGCCGACCTCACATCCATTTTCAGTTCCTCCACTATTGTTGGACTCTCTTGCAGAATAGATCCGGAGACCTACACGACAAGAACATCCATCCGACCCTCCGGAGGAAACCGGAGTAACACCTTCTACATTCTAGAGCAAACGAAGGTGAAGAAGGCTTCTGGGTGGAAGACGAAGAAGGATTGGAAGGTTTCATGTCAACCAACGATGAAGAGACTTTTTGGGTCCTTATGTACACAGTTCCAATGTGCTTCTTCAGGGATGGATGTCATATCTTCCACGAACATGTTCTCCGCAGATCTCGATGCTGCAGGCTGAGGAGTTGACTTTCCAGCAAAGCGTAATGGTCGTGAGTGAGGATGCTGGCTTCGGAATTGGAATGGATGATCCCTTCTTCTTGGAATCGGTTGAAGAACCTCCTTGTTCTTCCTTCAAGGATTCTTTCTCATCAGGGAATTAAAAATCAATTCCAGGTTTTTTTAATCGGAGGGATTGTTTCATCCTTTCTGACTTTCGTCATATTGACCTTGATGAGTCTTGATCCGAGATCAAGTCCAACCATTGCTCCTTCTAAGTCTCGTGGCTCAAGTTTTTGGGTTGCCCCTCGTTCCCGGGCGCCACGGCTCGCTTCGCGCCGGGTGCTGATGGACTTGCTGCTCCGCGGCGCCTGGGTGCTGCTGCGATGGGGGCGCGGCTGGCTGCGGAGTCGGCGCCCGCCTTGGCCCAGCAGCCGCCATCTTGCAGAGAAGCGCTCGCGCACGTTGTGTTCGTGTGCGCGCGCGGCAGCCCTGCCTACTTCCCGCCTGGTTGGGGCCCGCTCTGCATGCGTTGGGCCTGGTTTGGGCTGGGCGCGCTCCTGGGCGCGACCCTCGTGGCACTGCTCGCCGTGGCCCCGTCCTGCCGGAGCACACCGGTCGCGTGCCCGCCGTGGCTCACTGCGGCGCTGGAAGTTCTCGAGTGCGTCGCCGCGGGCGGCCCGGCGGAGCTGCAGGCCCTGGCTTCCCAGGCGTGCGTGACGACAGAAGAACGTGTGTCGCCTCCTACGGGAGGCGGCGAAAGAGGGCACGGGGAACCAAACCCGCACGGACAGACCGCTACAGCCAGGGCATGCCACCCCCAACCGAAAGCGACGCAACACACGCGCGCCGCTTGCAGTGGGGGGGGGCAAGGCAGCACCTGACTTGGCTTCTGCTCATGCTCGTGTGGTCGCAGTGTTTTTCTCGCAGCCTTTTCCCTTCAGCAAAGCTTCTGCAGTCTCCAAGCCCCCGAACCTGGCCATGGCCCGTTGCGCAGTGTGCAAACAAGGTTGGGGCACGAGGATGGGCGTTGTGCCCTGCAAGGCGGTGGCGGTTTTGCAGCACTTCGCATGGGCCGGGCCTCCCACCTTGGCCCGAAGCACCTGCACTCCTGCACGGCGCCGTGTGGGCCATGGTGGAGGGCCCGCCAAGCCGGAGCCCGAGCCCACCCTGCAGGCGTAGCCGGTCCCGGGAGAGGACCAGGCAGCCGGAGCCCCCTTTCCCCGCCGCGCCGCGGTGACGGGCTACGGTGGCCACGGCAGAAAGGGCAGCAACGGCGGCAAAGGTGGCAAGGGGGGCGCCATGGGCAAGAACGACCTGGGCGGCTTTGGCGGCCATGCGCCGCCGCTGTGGCAGCCGCCGCTGAGGCAGCCGCTTTTTTGCCTGGGGCCCAGTGTTTTTACAGGTCGCGGCCGCGTCTTGCGGCCGCGGCCGAGACTTCCCACACTGCCCGCGAGAAAAAAGAGCGAGCACGCTTGCGGGATTTCGGGCTGGCTGGCTGGGATTTCAAGCAACCGTTTGCGGCGCCGCGAGGAAGGCGCGCGGACGGACGGAGGTGAGCGCGGGCAAACGGCCGTGTCAACACACAACTGTTGGCATCCCAACCGCCCCCAGCAGCGCCACGGGCACGGAGCCATTAAACCCGTGGGCCTCCCAACGCGTCGGCGAGGCAAGCCATCCCCAACCCATCCCGGTCCAGCCTTGCCAGGATGCCGCGAGAGAGCGTTGCGCGCGTTGGTGCAAGCAGGTCTCGCGGCGACGGAAGAAAGCGGGCTCCACATACCCGGGAGCCATACGTCGAAGCCGACGCAGCGCCGCTCGGGGACACATGCCCGCCCACACCACAACGTCTTCGGTGGAATTGGTCGAGCCGGCGCCGCTTGCGCGCGAGGCGGGGAACCCCTCAGCTCAGTGGCCGGCTTGGGCACTTCGCGGGCCGCCCACACCGTTGTTTTTAGAAGGCGCGCCGCGGTCCTGGCTGTTCGTGCCCCTTTTGCTGGACGCGGCCGGTCAGCTCCAAGAGGCCGCGTCCGCCGCGTGGCAACTGGGAGACCTGGCTCGCGCATCTTCGTGCTGTCACCCTGGGCCAGGCTCGCGCGGCCGTTGTCCTTCACCAGGCGCTTAGCGCGCGCCCGTTCAGTGGTGGCCGCACGCAGCGTTTGCCGACACGAGCGGCGAAGCGCCTTGCAGCCTCGCGCTCCTGGTGGCTCGGTGCCAGGCCCCCGACGGCTACTTGCAGGCCCCCCTCCAGGAAGCGCTCCTGCAACTTTATGGAGGCGCCAGCCTTGCCATGGAAATTGTCGGGGCAGCGTCCGCAGCAACTGCTGCACCGCAGCCGGTGCTTGCGGCGTGGCGGCAGTGGCGGCCGCGCTGGCCGCGCCGCGCCGCCGCCGCCGCCGCCCGCGCCAGCCAAGGCGCGAGCCAGACGAGGCTGGCGCGCAGCCTGCACAAGTCCCCGCCGCGCCGCCGCCGCCGCCGCGCGACGCGCTGGAGGCCATGCCCGGCGCCAGCGACGGATGGAAGCTGTTCCTCCTCGCTCCGCGGATGCGACAGCACCGCCGGCGGGGCGAGACCCGCATCCAGCATGACGAGCTGGATAGGCGCGTGGCCTTGCTGGCGGCCGGGCAGTGCCGTTGCTTGTTGGAGTCTGCAACGGCGGGGGCGGCGGACGAGCCGCGTCCCGACTCGCGCGGAGACGCTTCGGCGAACAACGACGGCCAGCGCCGCGCGGCACGAGCCGCAGCGCTCGCCCATCTGGGCGAGTTCTCGGCAGCTAGGGCTGCGCTCACCGCGTCGCCCATGGCGCCCGCGACGCGAGACACACTTCGAGCTTTGCGTGACCCAGACCGTCGCCCCCCGCAGCGGCAGGTCCCGCTGCCGGAAGGCCTGCGCGACAACTTGCCCGCCCCACTCGCCTTGTGCCGGAAGCGCTTTCTGCAGAATGTGCGTGGCAATCGCCGGGGCGCGGCGGCCGGGCCTTCTGGGTGCACCGCAGAGGCGCTCCGTGTCGCCAGCGCAGAGCTCTTGTTCCGCGCCGCGGAACAGCTCGCGCTGCGATGGCGCCGCCCGTGCTCGCGGGCGTGCGCTTGGGCCGAATGGTGGGCCTGCAAAAGCCCGACAGCGGAGTGCGCGGCCTGGTCATGAGCGACGTGTTCCGGCGCGCCGTGGCGCGGACGCTCGCGCAGCAGCACGCGGG